TATAGTTTAGGAATCATTTCAAGCTGATGCATCCATAAATAAATAAATAGGACACACATTCTTCTTCAGAAAAGTTCAAAAATACTGAAAAAATTCCGTGAGGTTCAAGTAAATAACCTGGGGGGGGGGGGGGGGACAGAAGGGAATCTCCTAACTCTGCAGTTAGCTTTTGCAGACTATAATTTTTATAAATAAGATTTGATTGCAACTGTTGACAAATCAAGATACAGAGGAAAAGATTCATTTCTCATACAAAATTCCAACAAAAGAATAGCCTCAATGACTGTGGGCACAAAAATCAGTACACTGCACAACTGGATGTACTAAGCCAAGATCAGTTGAAGTTATTAAGAGTTCTTTCGAGTGCTACCCAAAGTACAAAGTACAGCAGCAGCAAATCAATACTGACAAATGCCACCTTCTTAAAACAGAAAGTATGAGGCATCTCCTATAATATCACAGTGACTTTGGCCGTATCCCACTAGATAAGTATAATCATACACGAGCAGCTCAGGAAGTTTAGTGCACTTCTTTATTTAATATTACTGCTAAAGTGATAATGAGACTTCTTTATTCTGAAGAATAAGGAAAACTTGCTTACTGAAAACCTCATAGTGAGATTCTTTTCTATTTGTGAAGTCTGTTAACTGTTTAAAAAGACTTACAAAAACTGTTTAATTGATGATAGGTTACAAACTTGATTCGTAGACACTGTTGAGATCTATACTTTTCCTGATCTCCTCAGTAACGATTCAGAAAATCATTGCGTAAGACAATCAGAAAACACAAGCCCTTCCAACTCTTGGGTAAGTGATAGAACAGACAGCATGTTCTTAAAACTTTGGCTGTTTTGTTTCTCAGATAGATAATACTAGAAGAGGAGGCGGAGGAAGAGGAGGTGGAAGAAGAGGAGGCAGGCAAGTGCTTGAGAACTTTAGAACACGAATATGAAATAGAAAGAAAATATATATGTCACTTACTGGAAGTATGGGAAGTAGAGGAAAATGCTGAATACACAAGCCAAGGAGTAAGACTGTTTAAAAGTAACATCTATAAAAGACTAATGAAAGAAAATAAAATCTTACAGATCACGGAAGAAATATTTGAGAACTAGATCCAAATTGAAAACCTCAGGCCACATGGGCTCTCATGATCTGGGTAAGAAAGAGCTGGTTAATTTTCTTGAAAATTGGATTGCAAAAGCTTAACAGCTTGCAGTTGAAGATGACCCACTTTGCACTGAAAAGGCATATAGCATCCCCTTTAAGAAAACAACAGTTAAAAAAAAAAAAACAAACAAATCCTAAGAAGGAGGTAGCATTATGCTTGGTCTCAGATCAGAGATATGAGGGATGGATCCTCAGGGCAGTACATAAGGATAGTAAACTTTTGTTACATACTTTATGTTTTCTTTTGTTGTATTTTCTTTCTTCTGTCTGAAGTATCATCATTGCAGCACTGAAAAGAATCAGATCAGCTGTGCTGAAGAAGTGAAATGAGGAGGCTGTCTCTGCTTCTATTTCAAAAGGAAATAAGGTTTCCTAATTCTCTCCCCAAGAGACTGGGAGGGACATGATGTGCACACCTGCAGTGTTACTCCCTTTTTCAAAGGCATGTCTTTTCCATGGTAACAGCGCTGCAGTTCTGGAAAATCACTATGGCCAAACAGAAAAATATAAATCTAATAGATCCGTATTAAGAGTTACTAACACTTTGGAGTTCTAGCTGTTTTTCGGAAGTACATTCCGTGTTCAGATCCCCCAGAATAACTGAAAAAAATTCCACACAGCTCCAGGTTTTGTTCTGCACCGCTGAATATCAAATGGTATCAAATATCAAATCAACAAACATTTTGTTTTCAAACTAGTAATGATCACAGACGCACCAATTTCAACAGATTTTGCACTTTTTCAGCACCTCTGAACATAGATCTGATCAAGTCATGCATACAAAAACTGAAATTAGTGAATCCTTTTGAGCTTTATCTCTGTATTTCATCCATTATATGACGCACATAAATTCACATCCTTCTTACTGGGAACTGTAAAACCTATAAAAATATTTACTCAATTGATAATATATTTATACATATAAGGAGGAACATAGACCAAACATTACCCAAAAAGCAAACAAACAAACAAAAACCTTCAGGAAATACAGTCTTAAAAGGTACAACCCTCTTTCACTAATTTAATGATGAAGTAACACAGTAGTGTTTTCACTGCAATATCTTCTACATCTATATATCACATACTCTATGTTCATGAGTTGAATTTCAAATGGATTTCATGTTTCTTAATGTTCAATTCTACCATCATCAATAACTCCATTTCAGTAGAAGGATCTTAACTTTTTAAAAGCTTACTTTATTATTTTTGGCTCCTAATTTTCAACTTTCCTTGACAGTCCTCTTAAGTGATATCAAGTAGGCAACTTTGAGGGAAAGAAAAAAATTCTCAACTGCTTTTTCAGGAAAATTCTTCCAGGTTCTACATCTAGTGGAACAATCTTAAGTGGAATGACCTAAACAAGCCTTTGAGATAATGGCACGATAAGTTAAAAAAAAAAAAAAAACTAAGAAAGGAAATCCAGAGCCAGTATTATTACTTGTCTTTGTAATGCTATTAGGAAAGGCAGAAAGATAGAACTGTTACTTTTAAAAAATGATAATCATAGGAGTTTAACACTTTGAGGGTTTTTTCCTCATATTTGTTTTCTTATGAGTTTGCATATACATAAATGCTGTAAGATATGGGATTTTACAAGATCCCATCTTCCATTACATCTCATCATTAAACAGTCACTCCAAACACTTGGTTAGAAGCATACCAAATATTGCCGGTTTACAAGCTCTCCAGGAACAGCTTATTTATGTAGTTCTACCTATATTCTGTTGACCTTCTGCAGCTGCCATTCTAGAAGGTCATTTTCTTTCATCCCTTCTATCAAGTTATTCCATGCAAAGATTACTTCAGATTTATTTATATTGTCTATCTATATTGTATATTTATATTGCAGCTTACAGCATTTAGATCTTAAGTTATACAAAATATTCCTTCCACTGAGATTTTGTGTATGCAATAAAGGGAAAAAACAAGCTATTTCTGTTTTGTATACATAACTAGAAAGCAACTTAAAGTTTCAAAAGAACCTCAGAGGGTTGCTTTTTTTTTTTTTTTTAAAAACATATTTAAAGACTTTTAACACGGTTAATTGGAGAATATTAACCTGTATTCAGAAATACTAAGCCAAGTGTACTAAGGAACAAAAGAGCATAACCTTTGTGATAACTATTTGATTTTCTAGACTGTCAAATCAAGTGTGCTTTAAACTAGTCTCTTGAGAATGTACGTAAAGAAAAAGCTGTGTTTCAGCACATAATTTTTCAAGTGATTTGCTTGCAGCAAAAACAAAATACTCAGCTAAAATGATGATAGAAAAATGTTACTTCCATTTTAAAAAATTACTATTCTCTTGGTTAGAAACTAGTGATTTCTTTATCCGTGACTGAAAAACCATGCTGATATTATGCTGCTTCATCTTATTAAGATAATACCGCATCAGAAACCTACTGCAATATTACTTAATTGCATAATTAGCGGCATCAGCATCCTAGGATTCTACCTAATTATTTTTTCCTCTACTCCCAAACTGCCATTTCCACTCACACAACATGCCAGAACCCTGACTCCATCTACAGTACATTACAGGTGAAGGATTCAATTTTCGTCTTTTCAAAATGACTGAAACATTTGTTGCGTTGTCAAGAACTGAGGCAGCTGAGAAGTGAACGTTCCCTTTGATACAAATTTTAGTCTAGCTCACTAAGAACCAAGCAGTCTTCATGCCTATTTTTAACAGCATGAGGTTCACTTTTCTGAACACTCTACTACTCCATTGCTGGATCGAGTTTAGGTTTCAGCTATAGGGTTACATATATTTTTATCCCTACCTAAATTTCTGCTCCAATATTAGTATATTCTACTGTATTAACAACTTCACAATTTCTCTCTGAACCCCACTAGCAAAGTTGGTCTTTCCTCCCTCCCCACCCATAAAAAGTACTTTTGGTCCCAATGCAGGCATTTAAACCTGTAGGTTACTTCAGCTCAATTTAAACCACCTAACTCTCTCCTCTAGTTGCTTTTTTGACATTTTTACAGTGCTGGAAACATAATCCTGACCTGCAGAGCTTGAGGAAGTCCTCTCTGTTGACATGGTGAGACCACCCTCACATGGACCCACCGAGCTTTGCCTGGGAGGAGGGGAACTGCACATGCAAAAAGCTAGGCAGCCATGTGATATGTGCTTTTAGCCTAGTGACCCCCCTGGACTAGCGCTGGACTATCAACTAAGACCCAGACTGCTACTGTAAAGAAAAGTGGAAGCACTTTCACAGCTCCTAGTATGCCATTTCCTTCTACCCACCTCCATGTGACTCCTCTCAGCCTCAACATTCATCCTCTCTCACTGCTCTGTCCATTGCTAGCTAACACCGAAGCATTTCAAATCTTTTGGAGGTCCTACAGCACCTGCAGGACAACCCAAAAGCAAACAAAGCATGTAACTCTAAGCCCTCACCAGCAACACAACCAAGCGGAATTGCTGGCACTTCACAAAACACTCATGGACAGGCCTGTGATTTCACTTTGTTTTCCCTCATGACTCCAATGAATATTTTAAGCAATGCCATTTGGAAACAAACGCAGTCATGAAAAACTATGAAAATGACTAATTACTTAAAAGTAAATTCTGGAAAAATACAAAGGGTTTCTTTATAAATTACTACGTAACTCTAAAGTCAAACAAGTCTGATCCAGGAACAGCAGCAATCCAGAGTCATCCACTGTCCTACACTGTGAAGGACAAACTGAGACAAGCTGTGAAAATCGGAAGTGCCGGAAGAGTCTTCTAACCAGTGGAAAATGAGCCAAAAATTACATCCAAAAGAGAGATGAAAATCATTAACATTAAATTATTGCACATTTTTCAAGTCGTACCTCGTCTTCCTGATCTTGATCTCATAAGGGTACGTCCGTATCCTTAACTGCTGCACTACAAGAGAGAGAGGAGAGCAATGCTTACTTAGCATGCGCAAACTATTACAACTGATGATTAAGAATTGTCAGTAACAGTTTCACTTCAAGTTTCAGGAAACATTTCAATTCTCTCTCAGCAGCACAACTAAGGAATTCAACTTTAAGTGGAAAATCACTTTTCTTCCTAGATAGCAGGGGAGAAAAAGGTGTCAAATTCATTCTCATATCTTAAAACTTATGCTGTTACAACAATTACGGATCTCCCGTATTTTTAAAATTTCAAAGTTGACTAAATTTTTCCCAAAGAGAAAACGATGACTTTGTGCCAATATACGACAAAGTAGCAACGCTTTTAACTTGAATTAGACAATGGTGCATGGAAGCATAACACAAAAAAGGTCAAGATTTAAAAAAAACAACATAATATTTGACAGTACTTCCTATCTTGCAAAATCATTTGTATCCATGCAAAATGAATGCAAATTACTATCAAGGCAAAAAGGGTTTACTTCTTTAAACAAATACACTTATGCACAACTTGTATCCACTTTGTGAACTGAGGAAGTCAGAATATGTCGCAGAGAAGTAAAGCTAATATATTAAGACTCAATTTGAAGTAAGGTGAGCAATTTTCACGTTATTAGTAAACGTCAGCATGATCAAAATATAACAGCTTACACACTATCCACAAAGCTTCCTCCTTTATCTACAAATCATTCCACCAGCTTCTCTTACTTCTATCACATCAACAATAAACACAAATAGTTCTGTCATTTCTATTTATACTAAATTAAAATCCATTTGAAAATATACATGTATTAATTCAGAGGATTACTCAAATATGAACAGAAAAAATATAAAAAGTAGCATATGAAATGCAGTTCAGAGCTTAATAATTAAAGCTAGAGCTCAGTTTATTTTGACCAATCAGCTGTTAATAGTTTGGTCCAATATGACAAAAGTCAATTAGTACTTCTTTAATAGACTAATCTTTTTGCATTTAATTGTCATATCAATAATACTGGCATATCCCCACAGCAAAGTCAATAGTTATTACAACAACTAATTAAACTCCAAATTAAAAGGGGATCTATAAGTGTTCTGCTCAGGAAATGCAAATTCTTAGAAGAAAAAACAATTGAAAAAAATGAGTCTTGATGGTGAGGGTTTTTTTCAATTTTCTTCCCTTTCTCAATCAAAAGCATTGTGTGGCTCTCTCACACTATTAGAAGTGACTTTTTGAATGGCATAATGAGACGAACAGCAAAACAGATGGGTCTCATCTGAAGCTACACAAGATTCCCACTGGACAATATAAAATGCTGACAGACAACAGAAGAATTCCATAGCTGTTATTCACTGTAGATTAAAATTTAAACATGATCTGAGCAAGCCGTGCGTTTGAACCAATTTTCTTAGCTTGGCATTTTAAAAGACAATGAACTGGTAGGAATACTGCTGAATTAAGAGCTTGAGAATGCAAGTCTATTAATGACCTCAGGAAAAATCTGCCTGTTTACAGTTAGGAACTGTAGAGGTTAGGAACACTATGAAGTTGCTGTACGTTCTTGTCCCCCTCGTGAACTTGAATGAGCTTTTGTAGGAGCATTGCTCTGAAGACAGTCTGAGGAATCATATATAACAGTATTACACACATTATCTGACTAAAAGTAGTCAAAATAGAGACAAAGGAAGATCAAATATTGTAACAAGTCAGGCTTTTTTTAGAATGATACTATTGAGCAACTTGTTTTATGCATAATGAAAAGATGGAAACAGTAAGGGAGTTTGATACTTGTGTTAGTCAAAATTACTGCCTTTTTTCCAGTATTTTTTAAGCAGTGTACATTAGCAGATAAATAGAAAAAGAAATAAAATTTAGGCTCTCTGAATTTCTATGACTCTCTTCATAAATCTTTATGGCTGAATTCAAAATGTATGGTAAGATTCAAAAACAAGAAGAGACAAAACAGAGAGAAATCTTATTCCTAAAGGGAGGAAAAATGAGCTAATCAAAGAATTAGTATATTTAACTGAATCTTAAAAAATGAGGAAGTGGGAGAGAAGTAAGAACAGCAAACGTTGTAACAAGAGGAGCCAGGCCACAAGATGATTCCATGAAGATGGATAATCGATGCTTTTGGGAATACAGTAGGTTGTGGAGATTAAAGGATATTTTCAAGTGCCTGAACTAAGCAGACGTGCATTTCACGCTGAAGAACATTCCAGATAATAGCAGAAAAGCAGATATTTTGTGACTGCAACTACTAGCCAAAAAAAAAAATACAATATTTTCATTGATCCTGTTGCAAATAAATTGTATCAAAAATTTATACTGTGAGCTTATATACACTGTGCACACACATTCATTCACTGTGTATTCACACAACATACTTGCAAGCTGAAATTCCAGACTGATCAGTTTTTAAATAAACGGTTCTGTAATGATGTTTATCAGTTAAAATGCAAAATTCACCTTGATGAATGACGTAAAATAGCCCCTGAAATACAGCTGGTAAATAGCAGAAAAACAACACCATTAGCACACACCTTAAAAATGTATGCTCTATAGGAAATATTTTTATGTATATTTTAATGCAGGCATTTAACATTTCACTGTATTTTTAGAATACAATTCTATTTTGATAAAACCAATGTTATAAGGTAAAGCAAAAACACTGAGAAACTGAAATGAAGGATGAGAGAGAAGCACAGAACATTTCATAGATGCCAGTTCCTCAATGCTTTACAGCACCTCTGTAAGTGTTAGATCAATTCCAAAGGTGAAGACAGAGACGTACAAACTAACGAGTTCAAACTTCTGCAATGAGGACTGCTATGAATAGAATCTCCATATTCATAGTCATTGAGCTTCAGGAATATCAAATCTCAGTAACAATTTTGAATAGAATTTTTCTAAAGGATATGATGCTATTACGGTCTTCATGTTTACATACATGTACTCACACAAGCACACGCCTGCACAAGTCCACACTAAAGTCAATGCTGGTTGGGTGGTTCATCATGGCAATAAATGGAGTGAGAAACAGCATTTGTACTCACTAAGAAAAAGCGCCTCAAATGCTTGTCATACAAAATCCAGCAGTTTTCTCACTGCAACCTATCTGTGTCAGTGTCATGGTATTAACAACAAAAAGGTAGAGCACACGTCTAGAAATATTTTCTGTAAGAGATGCAGGTAATCCTTCCACAGTACACAGCATTAGCAGGTGAAGTCTGATCAGCTAGAATACTTTCTCCCATTTTGGGCATTACATTTGAGGTCAGAAGAGATAAAAAGCCAGCCTAAAAATCACATCATTGGAGGGGTTGTGAAGTTACTAACACTAGAGATCTTTTAGAGAAAGTCAAAGCAACATCAGCCCATGATTTGATTCCACCATGCATCAGGAGACAGCCTAGATAATCTCCTGAGATCTCTTCTAATGCAATCTTCCTATAATTCTACTTTTGCTCTTGGTATTATGAAAGCAAACAAGAAATGAGAGAAAATGCAATCATATTTTTATTAATAACAAACAGTACTGAGGAAAATAGAATGTAGGAGGCCTAACTATCACCTCTGTGATTTGACTACTAAACCGCAATACCTCAAAGCATATATCCTATTCCCTCATGATCTAGTAATGTGTTCACAAAAAACTGCAAGCGAGAGAGATTCATCTACTTCCAAAACACGTGGTTTGTTGTAAGAACCAACTGATACACAATATATATTAGAATTAAACCCTGTCCACCTCTCCTGAAACTACTACAGGAAATTCATATCAAATCTGTCTGCTGCAGTTAGTTTTTATGACAGAACTATTATAGAGAAATAAACAGTGTCACTGGTGAAAGGAATGTCAAGCTGCTTCAAACTGGCTAAAAGGCAAGTGATGTCCTCAAGGATTATAGCGCATTATGACCCTGCCCTGCCAATCTGTTTAGCTTCTGACGCTTCACCATATGGGGTCAGAGCAGCGATTTCTCATACAATGCTAAATGACCTAGAAAAGTCTGTAGCATTTACATAGCAAACACTTACTAACATTGCAAAGACTTAGACACAGATGAAAAGGCTTTAACCTATATATTTTGGTACAGTATAACTTTATTACCAAAACTGACTATCTCCAATACCTTGGTGGATAGAATAACCAAACACACACCCTCCTGGGTAGATTTCACTTATACATGGCATTTTCTTTAACTAACATCAAGCAAGTGCAATGTTTCTGATACCACCTTGAGACTTGAGCTGTTTCATTTTCCACTGATCATGGAATTTCATGGAAATTAGTTTGGTAGGCCATGAACGACTGCAGGGAAAACAAAGATAAGCTGGCACAAGCAACATAGTGACATGTTCACTAAAAGTAAATGAAAATACTGTCTTACAATGAGATGCATTTTAGCCAAACAAACAGCAAGGTATTCAAACCAAATTAAACTGTTCTATTTTCCAACAAACTCTGCCTGGAGTTCAGTCCCATACTGAGAAGCCATTGTGCAATATGCATATTAACAGAAATGATACGATTCATCCGTTATCAGGTGGGGCATATAAAGGAAAAGAGAAAAAGGCACTGGTGTCCCAGTTTTGCAGTTCACAATGTACCCTCACATTGCACAGAACTTGAGCGGCTCAGCATCTTTCATCATCAGCATCTCCAGTTAGTAACTAAGTGAAAGGCATATATTCGTCCATGCAGATAGATTATTTGCTCTGAAATTAAATATTACAACATTTACATTGCTGAAGAAAGAAAAAATTAAGTTAAGTTACACAACAAAAAGGAAAAGAAAAACAAGTAGTTAGGCAAAAAAAAAGCCTCCATTAGGTTTGCTGTATGAGTAGATTCAAAGAAACTGAAGCATGAGAGGAACAAAGTTGATCTCAATGAAGACCTAATCTTGCATTCTTTAAACATTGAAAACTCATGGTCAAGATTTTACTCCCTTTTCTGCACAAGATAAATTGGTCTGCTTTCACAACTAACACTCTTAAAAGTA